AATAATATTATTGGTTAAGTCTGTGTGGTGTCTGAATAACAGGGCAAAAAAAATTTTTTTCGTAAAAAATTTCATTTTTTTGAAAATTTTGGCCCATTTGACCTTGAAGTAAAGGTCAAAGGTCAAATCCAAGGGTATATTTGAAATCTACACATATGACTTTTGGAAAGCCGTCTATAGAAATTTTTCCCATAACTCCTTCCGTAGGGTAGATAATTAGCATTTAATTTTGCCATTTTTAGACAAGGGTGCATTGCAATGAGTGCCGCACCCAGACCCCAATACCGACAAAGCCCAAATTTTACGTGGAACGAGTTGAGATTATAGGTGACCTAAATCCATGAGATGGGTATGGGGGCCCTTACCGTCTAGGAGGAGAAGCGGTAACGGTAGCCGTCCGGCGGAGCCGGCGGAGCCGGCGGAACGATCCGGACGGGACCGAAACCATGTGTACCGCCAGCGCTAACGCTGGTGGTACAATAACAAGATAAAACATAATTCAACTTTAATTCACAACTTCTTACACTTATTTTAAGGACACTGGAGTTCATATAGCACTGGCAATGGTAAAACAAAAGTAACATGGTTTGGCTGTTTTTGGGTGAGAAACAGGTGGGTCAGACCATAACAGTCACTGTGACAACAAAAACAGTTGCAAAGGTGACAATATAGAGTCTGTATATAAAAACCAATTAGCTTGTGACAAAAGAAGAACTGCAATCTTATATCAGTAACAGACTAACAAACTTATTTCGATATTCACTAATGGTATCTCAAAATAATAATTGGTTCGTGACAAAAGAAAATTTGCAGTCAATATAGATATTTTAAGAATAGAAAAAAAGTAAATAAAATATGACTCAAAAGCTTTGTTATTTTATGGTTAAAAAGCTTCTCATTTAACATGAGAGTCTCTTTCAAACTAAAGCAGAATAATTAACAAAAAAAAAAATTTCAAGCTTGGATAATATTATCACAATTATATTCATAAGTACAATCTGTTTCAGTTGTATAGTCACAATAATAATAAAAAAAAATCCCTCATTTTGCCAATTTTTGGAATGGGCAACTGAATTGAATTTGTCCACATCAAAACTTGCCAACCCTCTGTCCTAACCATGGTTGCATGCCCCAGTAACATAATGAGTTACACCTGACCAAATCAATTAGGACCTTTATTGCCCTCTTGGACACACGGAACTAAAAGCCAAATGGAAACAAATACAATCCTATATATCTCTATATATATATAACAGGGAGTGCATATACTATCAGGTATCAAATGCTTAACTGTTGCAGTGGACATGAAAGGAAGATAAACCAGGATTAACAGTTACATGTACAGGTACAGAAAAGTAAGATAATATCTCAATTTCAGTTATTTTAAGGGGTGCGGGGGGGGGGGGGGGGGGGGGGGCAATGTTAATCAATATACTCTTTATTCAAGAAAGGAATTATAATTGTTTTACTATTCTAAGCATTTAGGAATAATTCAAACGGTGGGGGTGTTTTGTAACATATAAACAAATTAGGAACAGTTTGATAAAACTCATTTACTAGTTTAAAAAAAGGGTTTAAACAAAAAAAAATTGTCTGTTTCTGCTAATGTTTATGCCTTTCAGTGTTTCGTGCCTCTTCTTTGATGAATCATTGTGTAATATAATTTGTGTATCTAATATGACAAATTTTCACCCTACTGCTATTCTAAATCAAAAATTCCTGCTTGAGTATACAATGAATATAATATAATATTATCAAATCAAGCAAACAGTTTCTTCACATGTCATTACACATTCACAGCTAGCGGGTATAAATGTCTTTATGTTAAAACTCAAGAAACATAACGGCACTTACTTCTTTGCTAATTTGGTTTTATTGTTAAACCAATTTGTAATTGGCTACTAATTTAGTTAATGAAATTGCTTGTATTGTGAAGTTGCCATTAGAAGAATGCAAACAGTGGTAGTCTTATTTAATTGCTACTATAATGTGACAGAATTTGAATCACCCAAGATAAACCAAGGTCTAATGGCTTATTTGCGTTAATCAAGCAGGATTTCCAAGGGTTCAGAGAAGAGTGGGATCAGAAGTAATGACAAACTAGCAAGTGCATGCGTTAAGAAATAGAAGCTGACAGAAGTTATCCAGGTTAATTTTTCTGGTTGTTTTCTCTTACTTTCTGAAGAATAACACTCCTTTGCACAAGAGTGCGTATTCATCATGCTTTGTGTGTTACCTTCATATTACTTTCTAAGAAGGCATTCCCAAGGCAAAGAGATTAACCCTCATTATCCCTGCCTTGCATGGTTTCTAGTCTTATATGACATCAGCCAATAATGGATAATTTCCACTGACAATTTGGACAAGACAATAACGTGATTTCATGGAAATATAGAGCAACTCCAAGAAACCAATAAATTTGGTTTAAAAAAAAAATACCCATGCATGCAGCTGTGGTTATCTATGTATTCTGGAAATTATCTCAAGTGTAAACCTCTAAATTTTTAGTAGAGACACAAGTCTTTATTTGATAAAATTGTTACATTGTTTAGCATTATCTGTAGTTTGGTTGTATACAGTAAATTTCTCTGGACAAATGGTGCAACCTGCAGGCTCACTCCCTCCAGAAACCTCTCTAAGCCATGGGGGTGGGGGTTTAAGATTATGGTTGGAAACTGAGGAGAAAATTAGTAAGTAATTGTCAAGTGTAATATCCTATATCCGGTAAGTCTAATATTTTGTAAGTGAAACTGAAGTATTAGTTGATGCAGGGAAAACAATTTTCTGTTCTGTACAGTGTTATGTTAAGGGATCTTGATAAAGTGGGAAGAAGATAGAATTTCAAAAAAATTGAGGCTTTGGATGAAAAATGAAACACAAGGTGGCTGGCTAGCAACTGTGCCAATAATTGCTGAAGCCAAAAGCTGACATAGTGTCTAGAAAAAGGATCACTGAAATTCATTACATTCATTTTTTTAACATAACCTTATAAAGTCTTACTTCATGAAACAAAGGAAATTATGACTGATAGATAAAACAGGTTTTGCAAACTGTTGAAGTACCAATACGAATAGCAAGTATGAACTACCTCATCACTTTTTGCTCATCATAACCTCATTTTTCATAGTTCGTCTTCCAAGTAAAAAATATTTCTGGAAATCCTCATCAAAAAATTCATGTACGAATTGAGTTTAATCACAAATTAATACATGTTTGTTGGGTGTTTTATCATATTTTACTAATAAATAAACATACATTAGTTCATTTGATTGCCTTATTTAAAATGATAAGGCAATTACATTGTTCTGAACTCAGCATTTTTTTTCATCCTGGATGCCATTTGACACTTTGCAGCAAAGTGATGACTGCCTGGACACCAGACATTTTAAAAAATCGATCACCGACCCTATCATATTACCAAGAAACATGAGATTGTAGGAATGTGTCCCAAAAGTTAAATGTAGAATTCTCCTTTAAGTCCACACAGTCACGCGTTTCAGCAGCAGCAAATAAAAGGTTTAAAATTTCATAGTTGACAGATTTTATACAACTATATTTTTACGGCAAGATTGTGGAAGAGATTCGAGTTACAACATAGTTGCAAAAATTCAGCAACATACACAGGGGTTTGGTGGTGATTTGGGCGGACTGTTACGAAGTAAGAGCAGGGTCTTCGTAGTTAGTATTTGGTGTTTGTTATTGTCAAAACCCCCTTAATATCCTACACATATACCAGTATCTAACACATTTATTTTTCCAATTTACAATTCTTTTCAAAATTCATCAAAAAATTCCTTCTGACATGAAACCAACTTCATCTTTTGAATTTTTAGAATCATTCATTAACGTTAGCCAACATACACTGTTCTTTAAAAATGGAATCAATCAAATTTGTTGAAATTTGGTAAGTATTTAAAGTAAAAAAAGATACAACAACAACAACAAACAAACTTATGTAAAAAAAAAAAGGTATCAATAAATGTAATGGAAATCAACTGTAGGATCCTTATCATCCCTACAACAAATCACCATAGGATCATTTGAATAGAACCTAATTTAAATGTAACACTAAAACTTTGTAATTTTGATCTCTACTCAGCTGGTCCTGAATCTGAGGAAGTGTTAACGTAACACTTGGGAGGAAATTGGCCATGACAAATACAGCACTCTATGTATATGGTGCTTAGCACGCCCACCTTTAACAATTACAGGTCTATTTTTCAGTATATAGGATATTTTCAAGCAGAGCTTAATTGCACAGGTCTCGGACCTAATAGTAATAAATAATAGGAGACTCCTAACTGCCAATACAAAACTGTAATTGTTCAACATAGCTTAAATGTTGTTCCTCCATGCCAGTTTCTTTGTAGAAAGGCGGAAGATAATACTGAAATGCAGCCATGTTTCATGTTTGGTTGAGCTGAAGGCATCAGGCTTTCAAATAAACAAGTCTGCTATGTGTGAAGACTACAATCTAGCTATAAGAAGTCTTCACCTATTAATCTCCTAAGAATAAGGGGAGTGTGAATGACAAAGTTCATTAACAGTGAGAAGATATTAAAGGGATAACAACTCTTTGTATGAGATCCATATTTCACAATAAATACATTATAAACAACTTATAGAAATATAAAAGAATTCCATTTTACCATCAATATCGAACTCGATGACCACCACAGATGGCTTAAGAGATTATTACAAAAGACCAAACTTTTTCGAAAAAAAAAAAAATAATAATAAAATATACCGGGACTAACTCTGAATGTTGGAATGGATTCATTATCCATTGGTAAGTATGGGAAAATTGACATTTACCCCAGGAAAATCCAATTTTTTGCCAAAACAAACAGTTGTTATCCTTGTAAGTCATAGGTTGAAGCAGGGGGGAGGGGGGGGGGCTGTTTGAAAGAACACGTTTTTTGGCCAACAAAAGTCCACACAGTCTGCTTTTGAAACTGCTGGCTGTGGGCCTGTTAAATGAATCAAATACAGCTTCCAAAATTTAGATTTAAGCAAATAGACAGGTAAGCCAAGTCAACTGGAATGGAAAACCACACTGTGATGAGTTACTTAAAAAGATCTGTATTTTTTAATTGTCATGTATTCACAAGCATCTTTCAAAACAGTATCTTTCAAAACAGCCATGCACGTATGACTATTTTGAAGAAAGCCCAAAGTAACATACATACAACAGCCTAGGGGGAAAAAAATGAAAGCTTGTATGTAATAATATAACATTCCAGGGATTTGGAGAATGGCACTTTTTTGTTTACCAACATTAATAATTAAAAGCACAGCAATCCTTAGATTCCTATTAATCTCTGATAGTACCAGATGATATGTTTCATATGTTTACACACCCAACTAAGACATCCTATTTACAAATGAGACTGATGTCTTGAGAAACTGTGTGTAAATGCACCAACAATTGTAATCAAATGGACTTGCAAATTTATATCCATGGAAAAAAAGGGATGTTATAATTACCTGGAAAGCCCCTCTAAAGCTCTCTCTTTTTCTAATTTCAAAGTATTGAGGGCATCCCACCTGAAACAGATTTGTAAAAAAAATAATACAATGTCATTATAACAGCAATATAATATTGATCATAAATAAAGTATCTTCATGCCAACTATTCCATGCAGCAAAACAAAAATTACATAGAGCACTGAAATCCTGTATAGTGACTTGGAGATATTGGCCAGTTTATACAGTATTTTATCATTTTATTTTTTCATAATATATTTTTTTATTTTATTTCTTTGTCTTTTTTATGTTTTAAAACACAAGCTCATCAAAGCTATTATTTGCAATAAAACACACACACACACATACACACTTAAAAAAAAAAAAAACGTGCAACTTATGACTTAAATGGTTAATGTAATTTGGCTGATAGCTTGCATTATAAACTACAAATCAACTCAAATATGGAGCAACAGTGAAATAGAAAGTGGAAGTTAAAAATTCACAGATTCTACAATAAGCAATGAATAAAAAAGTACAATACCATTATACTAATTGTTTTTTTTTTCTTTGTTATTTTTAATCTTAAAAGATTAAAAAAAAGTTACCCAAATCCATAGTAAGTGAACCCTTTGGCTAAATTGGTTTCAGACAATAAGATAAGTAACAGATAGACCACGAGTCAGTCAGGTGTATGTGACACAGATAAGTGAAAGACATACACACATTGTTTATGTGTGGATTATCTTGCTAAAAATATAGTATAGCAGATGACAGGGAACAAAAGTCAGGTGTAGTATTCCTCACGTTCATGTGTGATGAGCATGTTTGTGAGATACACTAAATTTGGATCTTTTGTTCTCGACCATCGGCTATGGTCTTAGAATAGCATCAACAGGATTTTCACCAGTAGTTCTTTTTTTTTTTTTTTTTTTTTGCAAAAACTGAACCTATCCTATTGCAATTCTGGCAGTTATAAACTGGACATGCTAGTACATACAACCTCTAGCTCAAAGATTGTAACCAATAGAGCAGAGGCGACTGTGCTGCCCTCTAGTGATCATCTGAACAAGGGCTGTGAACAGGATCATTATCCAACACCCATCATATTGATAGTTTATATCCATTATATTCATTTGTCCAAGTTCTAAGAACTGACAATAAGTCTGTATCATTGCTCTCTTTTTGGTTATACAAAGGAAGAAAGATGTGTGGCACATGCATAGACATTCAAGAAGAAAAACAGACAGAATAATTATGATAATTATAAATACAGATTTGACTTGGTATATCTTTTTTAATTCTCTCTGAACATCTTAGTTCAACAGTATTCGCTCATTTCATTTCTTAATGGTAAAACTATTTTCATAAACTTGTGAATTGCCTTTATGTTTTGTAACTCCTTTGGAATATTCCTTATTAAGTTTACATCCTCTAGACAAGTTGAAGTATGACTATAAAATCTAGTTTGAGTTTGGCAAAAATAATGTTAACCTTAATCAGACTAATATCAGACAACCTATATGTTGTTTGTCACTGATGTTCTTAATGAATATTGTTCTACTCAGAATGGATGAGATATAATACCACATGTAATTAATCATGCTTCAGAAATTTTATCATTAAGAAAAAAAAAAAAGATTGCAACATGCTGATGATGTCCTCCAAAATTTAGTTTAGTAGATGTCATCTCACAATGGGTATTTCAAACAAAAGCCTTGGGTATTTGAAAACTGACCGGTCATTGATCTCCTTTTGTCGTCTGCGCACAGCTTCTTGTTGGCTGTGTCCATTCTTTACAAAATCATCTGCAAGCTTGTTGATTCTTTCAACTTCTCCTTTGTTAGCAGCCAGATCAGTCAATAAATTCTGAATAAAATTTATTCATTAAATGGCTAATATTAAAATATTAAAAAAAAAAAAACACCTTTTAATTGCTTGTTGATTCTTTCAACTTCTCCTTTGTTAGCAGCCAGATCAGTCAATAAATTCTGAATAAAATTTATTCATTAAATGGCTAATATTAAAATATTAAAAAAAAAAAAAAAACACCTTTTAATTGAAGACTCTAAATTTTGATAATGATAATAAAGGTACATGTACTTCACTTTCTGGTAAAATTCTATCAGGCTACTTTATGAAAATTTTATTATCATTTATCAAACATGTCATTTTAAGTAATACCTCAAATTTTCTCCTTAATGCTTCAACATTCTCTGTTTGGTTTTCTATATTTTGCAACAAGTGTTCCTGGAAAAAAAGAGAAAAATGCAGACTTTTGGGGTCATCAAGTAATTAAATAACACTTCTTCAATATTCCCAACAATTTGATTCAACTTGTGATAATCTATAAGATATTAGGGATTTCATCTCATATATAATATATAAGTTTCGTTTCAACTTCAAGATACAAATTTACTTCAATTCATAAATACTATATTATATACCAAAATAACCATGATTAACCAACAATTTTCTTTTGCTTCATTAGTTTACCACATGGAATACATGTACTAAGTAGAAAGTTCTCTAAATTTACATTCACACAATACTTTTTTTCAAGAGTTTCAGGTCTGTGAGTGTCTGATGATACAGTTGGTAAATGTTGTATGTCAGTTTCATTTTTACAAGTGAACTAACAGTTACCAAGAGACTACGGAATGTTTGAGAACTTGTCCTGGATTACATCTCAAAACAATATTTAGCAATGCAAATTATAACTCAAAACAATAGAACAAGTAAAGTATAAGGGCATATCAAAATATCCTTATCAATTGAAAGTCAAATTTTTATCTCTTAATAATAAATTTTAATACTGTGATGATAAAATGTTTGGAATGAGAGCATCTTAATATATCTGTGACTTATTACCTGAAAAAAAGGTACATAAAACCAGGTTTTCCTCAAAATATGAATAAAATAACTCTAGACGTACTTTATCTCTTATCCAAGATTCAAACTCATCACATTCTCTGTAGAAATGAAAAAATTGGATGGCATCTTCCAAGTATAGGCGGCGTGCCTGAATAAAAAATTAAGAAGGAAAAGATGCTTTATAATAAACAAATACACCAAGGTAAGGCTGATTAAGTACATATACCAATAAATTAATAAATAATTTAAAATCTACATAAAGACCATATACAATCACAATTTTAAAGCAGTCAGAGACTCACTTTTACAATAAGTTAATTCTCATCTCATCTTAATTGTTCAATCCCACCAACACTTTTCATAATCAAAATATTTCACCTTTCACAAATGTTAATGAACTCAGATACCTCACCTTGGCAAGTTTAGTAAGCCTCTTATGGGTGGAATTAATGCCCTGCTGACGTTCTTCAACATTTTCTTTGTCAAAATGAAGATTGGCTTGAGATCGCACTGAAAATTATACCAGTAGGAACAATCAATTTGACCATGGAAGTAGATATAGTTCCATGATTTGATACAAAACATTTTTAAATCCAGTATATGTTTATGTATGATAAAATGCATTTTTCTTGAATGACTTAATTGTTTAATAGGTATGTTCAGCTTAAGAACTCACAAATCAAAGGATGTCAGGTTATCTAATGAAGCCCAAAGGTGCAGAATTTGTATTTAAGACTGATTGGATTGAAATTGGTGGATGACTTAGATGATAAGACTGAACATAGTGAAAAGAGAAAAAAAGAGGTTTGAGAAAACTTCAGGCTCCAGTTGTTATATTCTCTCATGCTTCTCTCATTCTCCCATGCTTGTTTTTTTTTTTTTTTTAAATCCAGAACCTGGGTAGAGAGTAATACTGAACTCTACAATGCATATGAACACTTGCTTGCTTGCATATGCCCCCCCCAAACACACACACACACACACACACACACACACACACACACACACACACACACACACACACACACACACACACACACACACATGCATACATGTATACATATATGCTGTCGTACAAGCTATGAAGCCCAGAAACACATTTTTCAATTCCATCAGTTTTCTGAAATAACTGCTTTCTGGGAAACTAAATAAAAGCTGGTAAATACTAGTGCAGTAAGCAAACTATTATCTGCCCTTATTAATATAATGTATTATTGTTATGAACCTTTGTAGATAGGATGTTAATGACCCACTTGATCATTAGTGTTTATCATTAAGCTGACATATCCATGCAAACACACTGACAAATTATTATCAAATAACTTCTTTAAATTTCTAAATCATCATTGAACTGGCAAATCTATACCCCTTGAGATGCATATATTTCTAATTTCCTTGGTGTTTTATAAATTATACAAATGACTGCGTATAGTTCAGTCAGATTTACAAAAACATTCACCAAGAAGAAAACAATTGTATTTGGCATTGTAAGGGACCTGCGTAGCCTATGACTGTATTGATTTATATGTTACGTCACAACCAAGCTGAGGCATGATAGGCTGAACAAATAATTCTCACAGTGGGTTTCACTTACACCTCCCTATATCAATAAAAAGGATAAAAAAATCAGGACTCTCCAGAACGCGTGATCAACTCTCAGAAGTATGGTTTGTTAGGATTAGAAAGTATCAAAGGAACACATGAGGAGAGAATCCATGCTTAATGAAATATACTTATATCCCAGAAGCAGGTATGTAAAACAATGTATAAAAAGTAATATCAATTTCAGTCATTTCTTGTAAACAAATAGAAAAATAATTATTATTAAGAAGTGAAACTGCATTTCTGCCAGGAATAATGCTGTGCTGGGAAAATAAGTTGTTTTGGCAGTAAATTCTACAGGAGGGAACTGTTTCTGGCAGAAGTCATCAGCAAGTACAAAGTTTAAGCACTGCGCTTCCACAAACACTAGCTGAATTTTGACTACGCCAGTGAAGAATGTCAATAATACCAACATGGTTTTAAAAATTTATTGTACACGGATAATTGCATCAGGTAATGGTATTTCACTTATATGATCACGTTTTTTCATTTGCATGAGCACGTTAGGTCACAAGTGTCAGTTATTTGTTGTAACCCAAGTCTGCTACATAAATCTTACTTAGAACATGAAGAAAGAAAATATCTGGATTTATCCAAAATGAAAAAAAAAAGATAGTGGTCAAAATTTAAATTACAGGTGCTTTTAAACCCTAATCAATATAACATAAATATACCCATACAAACTACATGTACATGATTTTATTTACTGTCGAAGCCATTAAATAGTGTAAGAAAATACAAGCAGCATGAGGATGTTGACAAAACTTTCATTCACTGACAAAATTAATGGAAAAAAAGGAAAACTCTATAAAATTAGGCTTAACTTACTCACCAAGGAAACAAAAAATCTCATTTTGAGGTGAATTACGTCTTCCAAAAAAATAATATTTTTAGTCAATGAAACTATATTTTAAATTGCCGAATTGCATTTCCAAGTTGTCTACATTTTTAACAACATGTAGAAATTCTATTCATCCTCTCACCTGAAGGTGTTCTTCGAAGGGAGCGCCTCTTTTTCACAATCTTCTCTTTTTTATTGGTGACCTTCTTCACCTTCACTTTCTCCGGCACTTTCACTGTTTTTTTCACCACTTTCTGTATGATTTTGGGGGTGGTTTCTTTCACATAGTTGGCAGGAACAAATCCCTCCTGGCCCGTGGATCTCCTGACCAGCCACCATTCTTTGTTGGTTTGCTGTAGAAGCAGCATTACCTAATAGGGCAAGAAGATAATATGTATAAATAACACAGACGGTGCCCAGCACTTTCTGACAGTTTATTATACAATTTAAAACACTGTCATAAAGTGAAGAAAAAGATCTGAAAGAGAACTGATTTGCTGGAAAAATTAATTCTAAAGTAAAAAAAAATCATATAATGAATAAAACATTATTTTTTCAAATAATGTCAAATTATTTTTAGAAGCCTGACCTTGTCTTTGCTTAAATGAAAACAAAATAACAGCATGCCACAAAATGTCAAAAGCTTCTTTGTAAATCATATCTAAAAGCATCAAATATAAAATATCAAAATGCATGTAAGATAAAAAAAAAAACCTCCTCAGATGTGTTTTTATGACAGGCAATATCAGTAAGCACCATGCACTTAATGTTCTCATCAATTCTACACAGTGAGTTATTAGCAAAAAAATTTTCTTTCACACTGCCTCCATCAGTAAGCCATGGCTAGGGTGAAGAACAAAAGACTATATCGACTGTATTCAACATACAGTATATCATGAACGAATGTGTTCCACGCCTCGCTGCACTCCAAGCAGTACCAACTCCAGCAAAGTGCCCATTATCTGTATACCAATCCTGGCTCTCCCTGGGATTCTTGCATAAATAAATATCAAGTCGTGTTGTTTTCTCTTTTAAATTTTCTCAAACCATGCACCATGCTAAACTGAAAATTTACGTTGGTCTTCAAATTGTAATTTACAATCTCCTGTAAGAGCAACAAGTTGCCTCAAGCACAGCATATGAAAATTGAATATTAAATCTACACTTTCAGAGTAAATTTCTGTGGTCTTTAGCCATTTACATTTTTCTTCATTAGGGAAGGCAACTGTGTCTCAAGCTATCACTATTTTCATTAGATGATTGGGGGGGGGGGGAGAAAGAGAGAAAGAGTGAGTGTGTCTCTGTGCTTTGATTACTGTCTTTCATTGTCATCTCTCTGAAATCACACCAGGTGCACTACTTGCTGAACAAATAGAATACCTATTAAGTGATGCTCTGCATATGTGGTGATAGTCTAAATGCTATATTCTCAATGAACGTAGAATTGTCTAGAGGATCTTCTCTTCTTCTCTAGGATGGTCTCAATTTCAATACTGTATTAAAAAGAGATTGCATTGGTATGTATATCAAAATGATACATGTAACATAAAAGACTCCGTTCATATGGAAAGTCTATTTTCTAAAAATCTATTTTCTATTCGCGGTATCTTGTAATCACAGTCCCTGTGCCCTGAATATCCCGAGAATTAATTACAGCTTTGGAAGTAACTGGCTCGCGCCGCCAGTAATTACGCCGCGGGATATTCAGGGCACAGGGACCGTGATTACAAGATACCGTGAATAGAAAATAGATTTTTAGAAAATAGACTTGCAATGTGAACGGGGCCTAGGACCTGTGTTCTCCATCGTCCAAGTTATGGGCAATGTGGCCCCAAGGGGCCCTAGAATCTCCTTACCATGGCCACAGATTGATTTTTCACCTGAAATTCACAGATATGTAGCTAGTTTATTCTTGATGTTTTTTTTTTTTTTTTTTTTTTTTTAATGTCCAGCAAGAATTTTTACATGGGATTTATTTCATCACTCAGATGGTCCTTGCAAAGAATAGGCCCTACACATGCATCATTAAGGTATTGCACAAGCTGCATGTAAAAATTACTTCTGTATTATCTTGCATGCAGCTTGTCAATTCACTCATAATGTTTCACCTACGGTGACTTGTCTTCCATCTATCACATAACTCGCTTCTAAATTAACAGTTGCCAGGGTGTCTGGGGTTTAACACCTGCTTTTCATTACATCCCTTTTAATTATCACCTTCTACGTAATCCTATGAAATAGTCCCGCAAATCATAAACTCTGATAATAATCTTAAATAGAGACAAAAAAAGAAGCTCAAGATACAGTTATGCAACAAATTTTTTCTTTGTTTTTGTTTTTTATAGATTTTGTGTATTTTGTTAATGAAAATATGTAACTGACTTTGTCAAGAGCCAAGTGTTACATGTATGAGGTGTACGAGACATACACATTTATATAAATAATTGGTGATTTAAGTTACATAACCATTATAAAAGAGAAGAGAAAATGTCACTGGTTTTTCCATACAATCCCTATTCTTGCATGTACAAATTCTGTTAATGACTATTGGCAGGTTCTATTCAATTCTGACTGAAACGTGCATGATTTCATTCCAAAGTCCATAAGTTGACAACTACATTGCTAACAAGAGATCTCATATTCCAACAATGTTCCTAGGTGCCTGTGAGAGTGGGGTCTTTTTGTAACCAGTCTGTCTCGATTCCTAGGGGTGATGAACTGTTTCTGCGGAGAATTTATCACAGTCAAACTGTTTTTGATTTTTAAGCTGAACCTAGTGTGAATGGTACAACTTAGTATTCCATGAAGTAGCAGCTGTTTGCAGTGAGTTATCTCCGTAAAACAAAAAGCAATAACACTCATTAAAAGATAGTAGTTTCATAATGGAAGTCGCTTAATCATGTTCCAAAGCTGCAGTATCTCTGGGTGTTCTTTTCCCTGGGGGAGGAGACAACAAACACTGAGTGACGGAGATTGTGAACACAAACAGAATTTGCTGGAAAATCACTTTGGTTTTTTGTGTGACAATGACATAATTCTATTCCCCATGGTGGTACAACTCCTATAGCAGGTCACCATCGATATGGCACAGGTACCATGTTATGAGGTATCATACAAATTCAATCTTAGGTTTTTCAGATAAATGTACAATAAATAAACTAAGTAATTTAAATTAAACTGAGCAACAAAAAATATTGTGTAATTGCTTCCACAATACTGTATTGTGGATATGCAGTGCAATTTACATTGTAACCTCTCAGTGAACTTGCAGTAGTATAAAAAGCTATAAGTGTGTAAACAAAACCATTTAAGTGTACAATAAACTATTATATATTATAATATATACTATAATATTATGTAAACAGGTTCCATACCAGATATGTAAAAATTTTCAAGTTTCAGCAGAAAAAAAAACATCAGGTACATTTATTTTAGAGGACTGTAGCACTTTAAGGTCTGCATTAGGAAAGAGAAGTAGCTTTGCTTTGACATAAGAAAATGACTTTGGGACAATTGCACATAGTGTACCTTAAGACACTGTACTAGATTTTCATAACTATCTCAAAAGGCCTTCACCAGAAAAGACCTCATCAATGTTTCCACATTCTGTTGGTTATGACGTGAATAACAAACATTCACATCACCATCTGTTTAACAAAACAGCTTACAGCCTTGAAAAGGGACTTTCAGGCATGAACTCATCTTATACTTTGCTTATTTTCAGGGAAACATGATGCAAGAGCTGAGAAGACATGAAAACTGCAAATGGATACCCATAAAATCTTCTCATTGCATACATTACAAAAAGAAAAGAAGATAATGCATTCCATTCTTCTATTCATGTATCAAGTTTCCGGACAGGTGGCAAATTCTGAAACTGAATTATGCTTGGTTAAGAAACCAATTTTTCTTATGAAAAATATCTCAGCTCAAAGTCCACAACAAGGTCGAGACTCAGAATGTTTTAACCACAAAAATCAACAGTTAAAGCAGTGTTAGATCACTATCAGGGCAAAGTAGACCAGATGAATGATTCCATGATCACAATGGACTCCAACTACACTAATTTAACAACCAGCGAGGAAGATTTTCAAAGAAGATCACTTGAAGCCATTATCATCGGATCCATATTCCTCCTAGCCATTATTCTTTGCTCAATCTTGGGTAACATCTCTGTCATTGTAGCAGTATGGACATATCCAAAGTTATATGAGCAAAAGGCAAGTATCTTCATAGTAAACCTCAGCATAACAGACTTGTGCAACGCCATATTTGTTATGATATGGACATGCTGTGCTCTGATCACAGACGGATGGCCATTTGGAATCATGTGGTGCCGATTCCAATGTGCCTTTAACTACTGGTTGATCATTGTGTCAATGCAGACTTTGGCCTGGATAAGTGTTGACCGCTATCACTCCATAGCTCATCCTCTCCAATATGCAGACTATCTGACAACGAAGAAAATCATGATGATGCTCAGTTTTAGTTGGATTCTAGGACTCATCTTTGCCTTTGTGCCCGTGTTTCTAGACTGGGTGCACTACGACTATTGGGAGGTTGTTTGTGCTATTAACTGGCACTACCAACAAGATATGGCTGTATTTTATGTTGTCATAGCATTTATTGTGTGTTTTCTCGTACCCGCTGTAATAATGGTTGGATGTTACAGCTGCATAGCCTATGCAGCCAACAAGTGTGCACGGAGAATTGAAGCTTGTGTTGTGCCACGTTCTCAGTCGATTGCCAGCGACTCCAACAGCACTGGCACCTCACAGACAACTAAGCTCATTCAAAGCAATACGAAGGTAATCAAGAGTCTCATAATTGTTGTGGCTGTCTTTTTTGTATGCATGACCCCATTTTGTGTAACAAAACTTTTGAAAGTTGTATTCTATAATAATATTGTCCCTGGCTGGCTGAATGCTTTTTCCACTTGGGTGCAGTTTCTGAGCAGTGCCTCCAATCCTTTCATATATGGTATATTTAGAAAGGATTTCCGTATGGCCTTTAGAAGGCAGATTCGCTTTTTAAACTGTGGATTGTTTAATGTAGAACTTAGTTCTGAGTCCACATAGCTGTACATGCCCATAGGGCCATATTGCAATACAAAAAGCAGGTTTTATTAGAAGTGTAAAGAGTCTTATCATTAGAGTTTTATAATAGTAAAGGCCTAAAAAACCATTTTGTATTCTTATTTAGACTTTTGCTGTGCACTCTGATTTCTATTATATCCTATTGATTTCTATATAATGGAAGACAGCAGATGTAAATTACATGGAAAGTCATAGTTAAAAGTAAAATGAGTTATGTTTGATGTAATGAATGTGCAGTTATTTCTTGTAAATTTCTGAAGTCAGAAAACAATTTTTTGTGAGTGTTTATTGGTAATAAGTTTAAGTATAAGAAAAAGGGAAAAGATGTTGGCTATTTTTTTTTAATATTAACTCTTATAAAAAAATAGGGTATTCAAGTCTTGTGAGTAAAAAAAACTTTGTCTTGTAGTCATGGTAGTAATTACTATGTTTCTCTATCATTATCACTGTTATTGTTCACATGAATATTCTTGTAATTTATTTATTAATCTATTTATCCATTTGTTTTGCTGTAGTATGTGGATTCAGAGGTTGGCAAACTCACCATACAACAAACTAATTATTTTGGGCTTGTGACTATTTTTAAGCAAGTCTTTACAGTATTATTTCACAGTATTAATTGACATACGTCTGGCAAAAACAAAAGCTGTGTTTACATTAAATGTCAACCAGAAACAGTCTTGCTGACATCAGCAGGCAAACAGAATTCCTAGGGTCCCAAATCATTTTCAGAATTTCTAAACCCATGTTGGACTATCAGGTCATCTGATCAGTTGTAGAGCTTCAGGTTTAAATTAAGTCAGTTGTGAACACGGCTAGAGTATATTTTTCACATGGCGATTAAGTAAGACCAGTGAATATTAGGTTATAAATACTTTGTCTATCCATATTTACATTAATTTGTAATATATATCACACTATATATTTATATACATTTAATGTAAATAAATGTCATACTGTCCATAAGATATCTGTATGTCATACATACAAAATGTTTTTATCAAGACCTTTAAATGTCATTTGTAATGCTGCCTGTAGGAACTTCAGTTCATTCAAATAAATGTGGAAACATTTCTAAAACATGAGCAAAAGCTATCTATGTAGAAATCCAGAAGAAATACTACTGCAAAAAAAAATCTCAAGAGCATTTTCTCTCACAAAACCTTCAATTGTCTACACAGAGCACAGACATTCTCTTTGCCAGATTCTCTGAACACCATATGGCCATGTTCATTCTTATCCACATGTCACATTAAAGGAATTGATGAACTTTAAACATGATTTTGTTGTCAACCTTACACCATCCATGATGTAAATAAAAATCAGTAAGATGGAGGTTATGGCTATAGTGATGTAACCAGATTACTGGGTGTAGACTAAAAACAACCTATCATCTGGTCTTGATCTGATTTAAAAGAAGTATCAATTTTGGCAAACTCTGGGAACTCTCCAATCTCTCATATAAAGTTATTTATAAGAAAGCACTCAATTAATGATTTGCCACCAAAACCTAATTGATTCCAAGTTGACTTATTCTTGAAATTAATTCTGTTATATATTACCTTTAACAAAGAAATTTTGTTAGCTTTTGGTAATGATCTACTAATTAATAAATAATGGGAATTGAGCTGCAAAGGTCTGTGCTTTGATTGTTTTTCTAGTTTTTAATTTAAATTATTTAATATATACTTATCAAAACGTGTCTTTTTGCTTTCTCCTGTCAAATAAGAACTTGCAACACAAATAATTATTGTTTATGAAACAAAGATACATTTTCCCTAGAAAAATAAAATCTGAATCACACCAACTGGCTGAGAGGAAACAACGACATTACTTTCATCCTTTTTCTTATTAGATGAAATATATTTTTCATTAAATAAAGATTAAGTACTTTCCAAAAAAAAAAAAAAAAAAAAAAAAAAAAAAAATGTCAACACGAAAAGGGTAAGGGTGTGTTCAAGTCATATTATGTGATGATTTGCACAAGAAGATATACAGGTTCATCACTGTAAATAAGACACAGACTGAAAGCTTAATATAAAAACTATTCCAATTTTTCCTCATCTAGTTCATAGGTAATCAAGCATCTAATTCAGGATAGGATTTATTTCTCCTGTTACAAAACTGCAAATCAAGTTACCAAATTAATACGTTTTCATTAAGAGTCTGCAGCTCAAAAAGAGTGACTCAATTTGGAGTTATGCTGTCTATTGTGTCAGGAGAGAATGGAGAATGTGCTTGGATGTGACACATTATCTCTTATGAAGTGGGATTGCAAAGAAAGGTCATGTATCTGGCATATAATAATATGACATGGTCAAATTGGAACAGTGGCCCAAAAGAGATCAACTTATGTCACATGATGACCTTAATGCTATACATAAGGCTTTCTTCATACTAGATAGCATCTGTAAAACAAAAGTATTTGACTTCAGCACAGGATTATTCCTAGATTTCACATTTAATATTATGATAACACTTGCCTCTCTTTTGTCCACTTGGAACCCCTCTCCTTTGTATTTATACATTGCTTTGACCTGTGGCAGCTTCTTCTCTTCTATTGACTCTTGAATCACTTCTTTCTCCACTATTTCCTCAACCTCTATTTCATACGGAATGTCCACAATTTCTTCAACTGTTTCTTCTTCTTTGTCATCAACTTCTTCTGTGTTCTCACTGAATTTCTTTTCTAACACCTCTGGGGGTGGCTACATGTAATGACAAAAGAAAAAAAAACATAAAAATCAAAGTTCTTGGTCATTACTATCAGTTAACAATAAAAGTGAGTCACCTATGCCATAATATAATCTAATAATATAATATAATAAATTGGCCCATACAGCTCTGAGTGCATAGAACAGGTCAGCAGTAACTATGTGAGAGAGAATAAGAAAGAATCACATGACATAATCTTACCAAACTCAGGTGACCAGCTTTAGTCATTAGGTTGGCAAGCTCATTTAATCTCTGTATATCATGCTGATAAGCTTGAATCTCCTCCTCCAGGTGGGTGTGCCTCACTAACAGGGCCTGAAAAGGTCAAAATGGCAAAAACAATGAATGAGGATATTTCAAACCAAAGCAATAAAATCTACACACTGTGCATCTGTATGGTTTCTCCAAATTTAAGTTTTGGGTCCATTCCTCAGTAGATTTCTTTTACTGCATCTAATTGTAAATGATAGAATCATGACCTAATCATCAACTCGTTTCAGTTAGCTGTACCTTTGCACTCAGTTCATCCTTGCCATAGTCATCACTGCAAACTAAAGGGATCTTCTCCCTCATCCATGACTCTGCTTCATTGGCATCAGCATAGTACTAGAACAAAGCGGACCAGTCTGTTAAGACCATGTATGGGATAGATTATGCTTACTGGTTTAGTCTAGTTAAGATATATGACTTTTTGTTACACCAAAATAGGAATTTAGAAAAAAAGAAATAATGAAATCTTTTATAATTTTTGAAAAATAATTTGATAAAATTTTTCAGAATAAGATGTTTCCTCGTCCTGCTAGAGTGCCAAACATGACAAGTAGTACTTTAAAAGTGTAGAAATATTGTCTGGTATCTAATAACCAATAGAATAGCCAATGTAAACAATGGAAGCTTGATGATTCACTACATAATATGCAGAATATGCATAATAGAGTTGACAGCTCTGTCCTACATACTCTATGTGACTCTTCAGCATCTTCCAATCTTGTCCTTCGGGATTTGGCCAGTTCTCGAAGTCTCGTCCACTTGTCCTTGAGACTGTCTACTCGCAGCTTGATGTCAGTGCTGGCGTAGTGGCGGGTGTCAATCAATTGCTGTCCGAGCTGACACACCTGATGACACCTGGGATGTCTGGCCTGGAGTTCTGCTTCTAGAGCCTGAGAAACAAATGAATATATGAATAGATAAATAATTAAATAGAGCATCCTCAAAGTCTTTCAGCAAAGATTTATCATATGAAACCATATTTTGATGAAAGTTCTGGACTGCGCTTCTTCATTCAGTAGAGCCATGTATAAAATTGGAACTAGAAGGTTATAATTACATAGGCTGAAAAAAAATTGAAAGAAATTGACAGCAAAGTATATAGACAATTTGACCAAAAAATCCAAATGATGTGCAGATTTTTAGTTATCAGACATAGAACAGTCATGTGCTTTTCACAATCTTCAGGGTAGCAGTATCTGGTGACTGAATTCATGGTGCATGCAGAGAACAAGAAAACAAAACATTGTGCAGACTTTTTTGAAAAAAAAAAAATACTGATGCATAGACATAACTCAAAACATATTTCATAATTTTAAAATTACCAACAAGGAAGAAAAAATATCAGCTTCAGAACAGTAATGTCTCCTAATTGACCAAACAGGGCAGATGTGTTCTCAGTCTGCACAGTTAGGCACTAGCCTGAGACAACTGCCCACCTACTGGGACAATGGCCTAATAAATTATCTAAAATGCATTATAACAATAGTCCGCTTTTTAATCCTGATTGTCAGAAGAGCTAGTATCAGGGATGTCATTTGTGATGGGGGGGGAG